CATTTACCAATATTGAGGGACAAACGATTACGCGCACACCAACAGTACAAATTATCAAGCTCACCCTGGATAATCAATGAGTCTTCTATATTTTTAATTCCATAGTATATCTTTAGGTCATCCACATATAGAAGAAACTTACACTTTGAGAAACAGGAAGATATATCATTAATACAGATAACAAATAATAACGGACCTAAGACACCACCCTGGGGAACTCCAGAGGGGGAGACAAAAGAATAAGGTGATATATTATCAAAACGAACAACACAGCGTCTATTATACAGATAGGATGTGATCCACTTCAGAAACTCTGAATGAAAGCCCAGGCCTTCAAGTTTAGCTATCAATATTCGATGAGGCACCCTGTCAAAAGCCTTAGAGAAATCGGTATATATAGCGTCAATTTGGAATCCCTTTTGAAAGGTTTCCAAACAGTCCTCTGTAAAAGCAGCTAAATTGGTTAACGGTTTTGAGACAGTGGTAAGCTTAGAAATTGGCCTATAATTCTCAATACAATTTATATTACCACTTTTAAGAATTGGCGTAATAAAAGTCAATTTCCAGCCATCGAAGAAAACTCCGGCAGATAGAGACATGTTAAAAATGTGCCTCAAAGGCGCAATTAGTGAAGAACAACTTTTAAATAAAATAACCGAGAGGCCATCTACATCAGTGTTTATGGATAGTTTAAGCCACAGTATATACAGTAATAAACCTTTTTGAGTACTCCTCGGGGGTAAAATCTGATTAGGGTTGATAATGAGAAGGATCATGAATTTTGTTGATGCAGAGTTGTATACAAAATTATTCTGGTATGAAAGGGAGCAAAAACCGTACTATGGCAGAGTGGCACAAGTCATGACTGTGTAATAGTGCCCGAAACTATTGCAAAAGTGTAAAAACATTGCAAATTTTTGTCTATTATAGATACTAGTATAGATTATCATAGTTCAGTGTATAATTTGTTATATTACACCGCACATGATAATGAAATGTTAAATGTTGAAAACGCTTGTAACTTGTAGATCACTCAAACTTAGGTGTGCTTAGTGGACTGTATGGGCGGATGTGCTGGCAGTCATTGGGATCTGTATGGCTATACAAACCTTGTTTTTTTTTTTAAATAAAGACTTAAATATATTCGGAAATTTAGAATTTGGCTTCATAAATTCACAAAATTTACGGTTTTCGTAAATAATTTAATCCTACAATGGACTTTTTTTATTTTAAAGGCCCTGTGCCAATTGATNGTTATACCCTTTTGAAAGGTTTCCAAACAGTCCTCTGTAAAAGCAGCTAAATTGGTTAACGTAGATCTGCCCGGCACGAACCCATGTTGGTTGGGACATAATAAATGTTTAACAGCAAAGTAAATTTTATCTTTTACTATGGACTCAAACAGTTTTGAGACAGTGGTAAGCTTAGAAATCGGCCTATAATTCTCAATACAATTTTTGTTACCACTTTTAAGAATTGGCGTAATAAAAGTCAATTTCCAGTCATCGAGGAAAACTCCGGCAGATAGAGACATGTTAAAAATGTGCCTCAAAGGCGCAATTAGTGAAGGACAACTTTTAAATAAAATAACCGAGAGGCCATCTACATCAGTGTTTATGGATAGTTTAAGCCACAGTATATACAGTAATAAACCTTTTTGAGTACTCCTCGGGGGTAAAATCTGATTAGGGTTGATAATGAGAAGGATCATGAATTTTGTTGATGCAGAGTTGTATACAAAATTATTCTGGTATGAAAGGGAGCAAAAACCGTACTATGGCAGAGTGGCACAAGTCATGACTGTGTAATAGTGCCCGAAACTATTGCAAAAGTGTAAAAACATTGCAAATTTTTGTCTATTATAGATACTAGTATAGATTATCATAGTTCAGTGTATAATTTGTTATATTACACCGCACATGATAATGAAATGTTAAATGTTGAAAACGCTTGTAACTTGTAGATCACTCAAACTTAGGTGTGCTTAGTGGACTGTATGGGCGGATGTGCTGGCAGTCATTGGGATCTGTATGGCTATACAAACCTTGTTTTTTTTTTTAAATAAAGACTTAAATATATTCGGAAATTTAGAATTTGGCTTCATAAATTCACAAAATTTACGGTTTTCGTAAATAATTTAATCCTACAATGGACTTTTTTTATTTTAAAGGCCCTGTGCCAATTGATAGAAAGGTCCTGTGCCAAATGATAGAAAAGAGAAAATTTTGACGGATCAAAGTAAAAATCTGACATTTCTCGTGGTGAATAAGAACGTCAGAATTTTACCTAGCGCATGGGGGAGCTTATAACCATGTATACACATAATATTGCTTGGCAGTAATAAGGAGTGAACATGAAAATGAAAGCTGAAACAGCATAAAAAAAGCGTACGTTACTTGCAAATTATAAAATAAATATAAATTTTAAGAATTTCAGCAACACACAAAAATAAAGCTTTCGCACGGGCATTTGTTTGGTTTTTCAACTGTCAAAATTTTACTCTGCATTTGGTACAGCAAAATTCAATTTATTTGTACAACATAGGGCGTGTGTGAATCGGTAGCAAAGNCATAGAGCTTTCGCACGAGCGTTTGTTTGGTTTTTCAACTGTCAAAATTTAACTCTGCATTTGGCACAGCAAAATTCAATTTATTTGTACACCATAGCAAATTTTTCCACTCCTTCTCACCACGGAGAAAAAAGTTACCGATTGGCACAGGCCCAAAATAGAAAATTTTGACGGATCAAAGTAAAAATTTGACACTTCTCGTGGTGAAAACGAACGTCAAAATTTTACATAGCTCATGGGGCTAGGTAAAACTTTGACAGCTTATAACCATGTATACACATAATATTGCTTGGCGGTAATAAGGAGTGAACATGAAAATGAAAGCTGAAACAGCATAAAAAAAGCGTACGTTACTTGCAAATTATAAAATAAATATAAATTTTAAGAATTTCAGCAACACACAAAAATAAAGCTTTCGCACGGGCATTTGTTTGGTTTTTCAACTGTCAAAATTTTACTCTGCATTTGGTACAGCAAAATTCAATTTATTTGTACAACATAGGGCGTGTGTGAATCGGTAGCAAAGTTCTATGGGGAAAGCTGTTGAATAATATTTTTACTATGGTGAGACAGTTTTGCCAATCTGCTGTGTGAAATGAAATCTTTTTTGACAGCAGTAAATTTTTCATAACCGCAGATTTATGCGCAATAAACTATTACAAATTGAGTGAAATTAATATTTTAAGAAAACATCTACCATCATTGATTGCAGTTCATCAACTTAAGCTTTTATTTTACGAAAAATTACACACAGCAACAATCTTTGCAATTGTCAAAATTTTCTATGCATTTGTCAAAAATTTCACTAGCCCTATGGGCTACTGAAATTTTATTCACCTCAAACTTGTCAAAAATTTACTTGCCGCGAACTTTGTTACCGATTCACACACGCTCTTAGCAAATTTTTCCACCCCGTCTCACCACGGAGAAAAAAGTTACCGATTGGCACAGGCCCAAACTTACATTTAAGAAAACACCATTCAATGCTATAATTACGATTTGAGTTTTACAGTTTATAAAACACAAGCGTTATTTATGTACTTAACTATTGATATTATTCTTCATTACGCATGAATATCAGCATACATTAGAAATGAATATTAAGGCTCCGTTATGCATACTTGGCATTGCTTGAGAGTTGTCACATAAGGAATCTGTTAAATGAGCTTCGCGTGTAAGCGGTTACCCAACGCACAGTATTACATACGTAAAAGCCTGTTGGTTTTTGATTTCTACGTAAAAATGGTATAGCAGTGCATGCAATGCCAAGTATGCATAACAGAGCCTTTATACTTAGGGCCTGTTACTCAATGTCTGGTTAACGCTAATCCTTGGTTAAACATAGTTATCGACGTTACCGACTCCCTGTTGTATGCATGGAGTTGTAGACGTCGATAACGATGTTTAACCGCAGATTAGTGTTAACCAGACATTGAGTAACCGGCCCTTAGGCTGTGTGCGAGTTTACATAAATTTTAGTACCTAATCTAATATTCCACTGGGAATTTCCAGCACTGCTACAATTTAGGAAAATAGCTGCTAAAACTGTACGAGTTCGTTCCACAACCTAAATTGTTTGTTTTGGAATTGTTGCTTTTAATAAACATATCTATAAAATGAATAATTTTGCGGTAGCTTTTGGACTATTTAACAATATAAAAAATGTGCAACAGAAAAGGAGAATGTTCCATCCTGGCATTTATAAAAGAATCCGTTTGCTCTTCTGACCCTGCGAAATAATATACATCCATCTGAATGCAAAAATCAAATAAATTTATACTTTCATCTTTCTGAATATTTTCTTTTTTGTGCCATAGCAATAATACAAATTATTTAAAAAATCAAAAAATCGTTGTTCACTTAATCGCTCGCTCAAATATATTTGACTGTTCAATTTAGGTTGAAAAGTATGCTCGCAGAAAATCTAAATTGTTCCTATTCACTGCGTTACCGACACTCCAGTGATACACTATCGACGATTTCGACATCATGCATGTAACATGTGATCGATAAAGCAGTAGTTGTGCTTAACCGGAGCTTCGACCTCCGATTTGTGCTAATCAGACATTGAACAACCGGCCCTAAATGCATGGAGAGATGGCATCCCAATCCAACAATCGATTCGGGATTTGTAATTTGCACTGGTGGCAGGATTCCTATTGTATCCTATGGGGATATTCCCACAGGATACAATAGGATTGAACGCGTTCAGAAAGTGTTTCTCAAATTTGCCTTACGATCACTACTCTTCTCTGATCCCATACCCTCATATGATGCGCGCTTAACGCTACTTTATCTAAAATCGTTAGATAAAAGAAGGTCAATATTGTCTCTAACTTTTATTTTTGCATTATCCAAGAATCTTGTGACTGTCCGCAGCTTTTGGGTTGAATAAATTTTAATGTACCGAGGAGGTATCTGCGTGCTTCCCTGCACTAGTCCTTTATGGGGACCAAATTTGGTGGTAAAAAGTTTCTAAGTTTGTTTACTGGATATACTGAGCTGTCTATACAGCCTACTCCTAAAGTGAGGCTTTTCCGTCTTGCTCATTATTTTTTATTGAAAGCATCTTCAAACATGTACGTACATCTGTACATAGATATTATACGTCGGCATCGTTAAGGACATATGTATTCTTAAATAATTACAAAATTGATATAAACAGCTTTTACCATTATTATATGAGTTAAAATTTTATTTATTTTCATCTTCTGGTTTCTCCAAAACTTCGACTATTCGTCCTCTATATTCTTTTGTTATGTTTATTCTTACAACGAGTTTCTGCACCTCCTTGTCTTCTTCAATTTTGTGCACACCTCTTATATGACGCTTAATCCTGAAAAATTATATACATACACATATACATATATGTACATGTAGGGCATAATCATACTTTATTACTAACTTGTAAGCATCTGGAAACTGCTTTTCACAAACGCCACATTTATAAGGTAATCCAGTGTGTTGCATGCGATGATTATAGTATTGATCATATTTGGAGAATTTAGAACCACAAATCACGCTCTTGTAACTGAAATATCCATGGTACTGCAATGTGCCTATTTAAAATACGTTTGTGGATGAAAGATTTTCCACAAAGGTGACACACAAATGGCGATTCTCCAGAATGAGTGCGTAAATGAACATCTAGGTTATTTGCCGCACATAACGTTTTTGACAAACTTGGCATTCTATCGTAGCTCCCTTGTGATGAGCTCGTGGATTGTTAGACCATTTTTATGAAGAAATGATTTTTCACACTGAGCACATTGATATATTGGTTTGCGGTTGGTTTCGTGCGTTAGCCTGTGTTTTTTGTATGTATACGGAGTTAAAAAGCTTTGGTTACAGATGTCGCACGGAAATCTTTCCCGATTCTCATTACAAATTGGTCATAGGCAAAAGACATAAATTGAAAAAATAAATAAATAAATGAATAAAAGACATTTGGGGTGTTCACAGTTCGTTCCAAATTGTGTCTGAAAATGTAGACGTCTACATTTTGAGACATCTTTAGCATCAAACTGTGAGCACCCCTTTCTAGCAGT